CATGCTGGGAGGAACATGCCCACGTCCTTGACCCTAAACATTTTCTATGCTGGTGCCAGCCACTGCAGGTGTCTGGGTGCAGCTGTGGCTAATGTGCTTGGATGCTAACCAAAAGGTTTTCAGTTTGAACTCACCAGACGCTCTTGGGAAAAAGCTGTGGCACTCTGCTTTAAAGATCACAGGTTCGGAAACCCTACGGGATGGTTGTACTTGGTCCTATACAGTTGCTATTTGTCAAAACTGACTCAATAGCAATGAGTTTGACTTTAAGGGTTACCTTGAAGGAGCCCTAATGGCACAGTATGCTAAGCATTTGGATGCTACCCAAAAGGCTGGTGGTATGAATTCAGCAGCCACCCAGTGAGAGAAGATGAAGCGGTCTACTTCTGAAAATGAATTTACAGACTTGTGGGAAGCTCTGGTGGCCTAGTGGCAAGAAGCCACACTGCTTCTTCTCCATGGAACAATTTTCTACTGGGCAGGTTCCTCTAACCACTGCCAAGCAGCACACAGAACTAAATTTTCCCCAGGCTCTCACTAACAACATTGACTCTGCCAATGGGTGATCACATCTTGGGTTTTCTACACAGACACCCTGGATGAGGTACGCAGTTTGAATCCACCAGATGCTCTGCTGGTAAAGGAGGGGGAATCTCTTCCTGTACCAGTCATATCAGATTTAACGGCACACACACACAAAATAGTAAAATTTAAAAAAAAAATAATAAAAGAATTTACAGACTTGTAAACACAACAGAGCATTTCCGATGAGTCTTATGTGATTGCTATGAGTTGGAATGGACTTGAGGCCAGTGGCTTTGGTTTTCTGTACTTGATGCCAATTGTTTGTGATGATGACCCTCTCACTATGTCACTGACATCCTGAGAGGAAGCTCTGTCCCTCTCCACCACTGGGTCAGCTACTGGATGCTACAACCCAGCGGCAAGTGTTAAATCTCTTAGAAGATACAGCATTTTATGATGTCCCTGCAAGAGAGATTGTATATCATAAAAAAGGGCTTGGAAAAACTAAGGATCTGGGAAAATCTGTCAGTTTGGAAATGGAAAAAAAGCCATTGACAGAGATGACAGTCAGACAGACCCCTCAGATGAGAACTGAACAAACGTCCGAGGAGAAAGAAACACCATTAAAAACATATTTTTAAAAGATCATCATTATGACTCTATTACACATTGTTGTTGATACATGCCATCGAGTCACCTGCGACTCATAGCCACTCTATGTACAACAGCCCTAAACTCTGCCCTATCCTGCCAATCTACCATCTCTGACACAGCTACTCCCATTACCCCAGTCACTAAATCAATCCATCTCATCAAGGGTCTTCCTCTCCTGCGCTGTCTCTTCACCCTCCCAAACATGACGTCCCTCTCCAAGGACAGGTCCCTCCTTGCAGCATGTCCAAAATATGTCAAACGAAGCTTCAGAATCCTTGACTCCAAGGAGCAGCCCAGCTTCACCCTCTCCAGGACAAACCTGTTTGTTTTCCTAGCAGTCCATGGTATATTCGATACTCTACTCCAACACCACAGCTCAAAAGCATCAATTCTCCTTCTATCATCCCTAGTCATTGTCCAGCTCTCTGATGCATAGCAAGTGACTGGAAAGACCATGACCTGTATAAGGTGCACCTTAGTCTCCAGACTGACATTTTTGCACTTCAGCACTTTAGAGAGGTCTCTAACCACAGACCTTCCCATCGCAATATGTCTTTTAATTTCCTGGATGCTGGTAACAAGAGTGTTGACCGTGGAGCCAAGCAAACCAAAACCGTGAACATTCTCAATCTCTTCACCATCCATTTATAATGTTGCCAATCAGCCCACGTTACAAAAAGTCGGTTTTGAAGGTATGATATGGTAAAGTGGAGCAGCCATGCCAAAGAAGAAGACACTCAATGGGTTGGCTGGACCTGGTGGCTGCCCCCCAGGGGGTGGTGCCGCCAGTGCATGTGGGGCAGTGCTCCGTCCTGCCCACGGGGCTGGCCACTGCGAGTCAGACTCTGTTCCACGGGTGCAGAACAGTAACAGCTAATTGTGTTTCCTCGCAAACATTTCCCCCAACCGCTTGCTCTAGATGAGATGCCGTTATTCTCAAACAACCACTGCACAGCAGCAATCAGAACCTGGGTCTGCCTCTAGCAGAAGAGAAAAACATATGCTTTAGCGTCTTTACATTCCTTTTTTAAACAAATCTCTCTTGCATCTTTTTTTTTAAAAAAAAAAACAACAACACAAGTCTCTCTCTCATCTTTTTGTGTGATTATGAAAATCTGGTCCTCCTTTAAAGAAGATTTGCTTTGAATGGCTTTTCATCCGTTTTAATTATCCTCAGATAACAGATGGTCCTGTACCAAACGTTAGACTCATTACACAGACTCGTTTACAGGGGGTGAACACACGCCACTGCTAAGCAAAAGGTAGGGAGTTCAAGCCCACCCCAAGGACTCTCGGGTGAACTGTCTCTGAGCAATTGCTTGTTGCATCCACCATGGTCCACTGTCCTACCTGACATGCGTGGTGAGGCTGTGGAGAGTCCACCTACGATAACTGGATTTATGGTAAGTGGGAGAGCAGTCTCCCTACATCCTCTTGCCCCTTTAACTTTTTATTGTGACTTGAGTAATAGTTTACAGAGCAGATTCATGCTCCATGCAGACGGCATGACACAGTCTGTTCTGTGGCACTGACCGCCGTTCCCACAATGTAACGCTCTCTTTCCACGTGCTCCCTGGGTTTCACGCTCTTCTCAAAACGTTGGCCCCATCTCCTGAATCAGCAGTGGTTATAACTGGCAGACGGTCCCACTGGTGCCCTAATCTAGTTGTTTGCACATTTTAAACTACGAGATGGATATCTCTGTGGAACAATTTTCCACTGGGCAGGTTCTTTTCACCACTGCCAAGCAGCACATAGAACTAAATTTCCCCCAGGCCCTCACTGACAACTAAAAACAATGTGTGGTTCACATCTTGGGTGTTCAACACACACCCACCTAGGATGAGATGCCATCCACCAAGGAGTCTTCTTGGGTCCCCGCATATACACTTCAAGCCATGCCACAAGTGTGTCCCTCTCCACCAGTGGTTAGGAGATGAAAGAAAAGCCATCTCATTCTCCACATCCCATATTTAAGATCAATGGAGGCCGCTTGAGGTTAGCCTCTCCTCTTTAAAACTACAACTTCTGCTCCCTCACTCCAAACTCCACAATACTCAGAAGAAGAAGAAGAACAGAGAATATCGGATATTCCGCGGACAAAGGAAAGCACAAACAAATCTATCTCAGGAGAAATACATCCAGGAAGTTCCTCAGAACCACGGGAGGTGAGACTATGACTCAGTCTTTGGACAGCGTATCAGAAAAGGCCAATGGCTGGTGTGGCATCCTGGTGAGTGATGAAGGGAGTCAGGGACAATGAGGGACACCTCCCTGGGATGGACTGACACAACCATCACAGCCACGGCCCAGCAGTGGGCACCATTCTGTTCTGCTTACACAGAAGGTCATGGATGTTACATGGACGCCAACTTGACGTCAGCTGACAACAAAAAAATGCACATGAGTGGGTGCACATAGACTTCAGAGATGTTGTGGGTACAGTCACAGACACCACAATCAAGCAAATGGCATAATTAGAGTGAGCTCCATGCATTTCTGGGAGCCCCAGTGCATATTTTAGTTGTGTTGATCCTGTCCTCTTATCTACCATGTGACACTCTGCTGTTATCTACAATGTTGTTGTTTGTTGTTGTTGTTGTTGTTAAGTGCTGTTGAGCTGTAGATGATTCATAGTGACCCTATGAACGAAAGACCTGAACACTTGTATAACTTTCATCATTTCTCCAAGTTCATAGAGTTTCCGGAGACAAGCTATTTCGATAGTGGATACCACTCCTGCTTCCAAGCCAGTTTTAATCTGGGAGCTCCACCAAACGCTGTCCACCCTGGGCAACCGTTATTGCATTTGACATGTCAGTGTTTAGCATCACAGCAACCACGAGTTACCTCTGTACGGCAAATGGACAGACCAATGCTATACCACTTAGAAGCATGTGTGACAAAAAACAAAACTAGGCCAAAGGGCTGCAGATTAAAGTCACCCACCTTTGGCTGGCTAGCATCACTTTCTATCCACTAGGCCTACAAAGCTCTCCCTATGACTCACAGCAATTCTATGAATAACAGATCTATCCCTTGCCCCATCCTATGCCATCCCCACAATCCGAGACACACTCGAGCCTATTGCTACAGTCACCGTATCAACCCATCGTGTTGGTGTTAAGGACCTTCTTTTCTTCTCTGACCTTCCACTTCTCTCAGCATGATGCCATTTCCTAGGGGCTGGAACCGTAACCGTTGTTAAGTGTCACTGAGTTATAGACTCACAGAGACTCAATGAACCAAAGACTTGAACACTTGTATAACTTTTGTCATTTCTCTAAGTTCATAGAGTTTCTGGAGGCAAGCCATTTTGGAAGTGGATGCCACTCCTGCTTCTAAGCCTGTTTTAATTGGGGAGCTCCACCAAACACTGTCCACCATGGGTAACCATTATCGCATTTGACACATCAGTGTCCCAGTGTTCAGCTTCACAGCAGCCATGAGTTACCTCTGTGCAGCAAATTGACAGACCAGTGCTATACCACTTAGAAAAATGTTGGACAAAAAAACGACAACATGGTAAAAAAGCCCGAGCTATGATGAGGATGACCAAAATGGGACTCAGAGCTAGGAGGTGAGTGCGTACTGTTGGAAAAAGGGCATCGAGATACTGATCAATGTAGGGTTGCCACAAACCACCAGTTTTCTGACACACAAAAGGATGACACAGGCCTGCAGCCTGGCTTCCAATGAGTACCTGAAAGGTCCCTAAAGGCAGCAGAAACAGAATCATCTAGAACGCATGCCCTGAAGCTTCATTCCAATCCCCCACCTGGCATCCTGAGGGCCACCCGTGTGCCAGCCAAGGCACTCACCTCAAGATGAAGAGGTCCACAGTGGAGTTGCTGGCGATGGTGACGTAGGCAGTGACCACATCCCCCTGCTTGACTGGCCTTGATGGTAGCCAGATGACCACGTTGCCATCCAGCCGCAGCTCACTGAGCTGGGCACTGTCCTGGGTCCGGTAGAGGCCAACGGTGCCAACCTTCTGCAGGTGGGAGGTGGTCTCGCCCAGCCCGTCCTTCCCTGGCCGGATGGCGTTGCCCTTCCTGAGGTCACCGGCCGTGCAGTCCCCGCGCCCATCCCCTGGTTGCACGGTATAGTAGAGCTCTACCGGGGTGCCCTCGGGCCTCTCTGCCACCTTCTTTCTTCCAGCCACCAGTGTGGGCACACTGAACCAGGCAGGGGGCAGCTCCAGCTCGGCCACACACAGCCCAAGTGCCCCCCGCAGCCGGCAGCTGGCCCGCACATCTCGGGTCTCCCGGAAGGCAAAGACCCGCAGGCAGGGCAGCTGCTCAGTGGCACTGTGGTCATCCCAGTCCCGGCCCAAGATGTGGAATAGGACCTGCACACGGGGCCGGCTCAGGTACACTCTGTCCTGCAGAATGACAGCCTTCAGCTTCCAATGGAGCGAGAAAAGGCCTGCGGGCCCGAAAGGGCTGGACGTCACCAGCAGGTCCAGGGGCACGACTTTCTCCACCGAGAAGGGCCCATAGCTGGCGTTCAGGATGGGGGGCCGTTTGGCCTTGTAGGTGAAGAAGGACTCGACCCTGGACTGCAGGCTGGCGTTGCGTGTCAGGTCCTGGCTGGTCTCCTTCAGGAAGAAGGCAGTCTCTGCTCGGAGGACGTGGAAGCTCACAGGGAGGTAGGGAGGCAGCGAAGAGAACCTCTGGATGGTGTCCGTGATCCCGCGGCCTTCTATCACTGAAGGGGGAGAGACAGAGAGGGAGTCAGTCTAGGCTCGTTCAAACCTGCTGGTCCTACAGGCAATTTAAAAATGAGAGGAAGGAATTCTGAACTTGATGGGATTGCATTTCTCCCCGTTTCTTTCTTTTTCAATTTGTGATGGTGGTTCAGGTGAAAGTTTACGGAACATACTGTTTTTCTATGCAACCAAACAGGCAAACAGACTAAGTGAATGGAATAAAAGGCCTCAGTGAATCCAAGAATAAATGGAAATTTCATCTGTGATGAGCCCTGAAATGGTACTGGGACAACTGATTAATCATTTTGAAAACCAAAAAACGTAAACTTAGATCCATACCTCATAACATGCAATTCATACACATTTTTGCTTTGTGACATTCTTGCATTCCCAGCACTTTTCCCATTCCCTCTCTGTGTTTCCCTATTCTCCTTGCCCTTTCTGCTTTCTGAGCTTTCCTCCCTGTGTGAATACAGCCCTGTTGGTCTCATGTAGCTGACCACTCCTGGTGCTATCGATCACTTTTGAAATTTTTTAAAAATTATTTTTAATGGAAGTTTACAGAGACTTAGGGTTTCTAGTCATTCATTGCTGCTCTTTCTCTCTGCTCACCATCCCTCACCCCCAATTCACTCTTCTCTGAAAAGTAAAAGAAAACTCTTTCATTGTTATACAAGCCCTCCCCCCGGGTCCACTCCACTGTGCAACCCTCACTCTGGACTCCTGTCATGACAATAATACCCAATCATATATCCCTTTTAAACAGTTCTCTCCCTCATCTGTTTCAGTGCAGTAAACATCATTCATCCCCTCCTTCTCTGTCTTCCCTCAACCCTGATGTTGGTCCTGTTTTACAACAGTGAGCCTATGCAGTATTCGTCCTCTTGTGACGGAGATACTTCACTCAGTTGATCACCTTTTAACAAACAACTCATTGTTGTCAAGTCTGAACTGACCCATTGCTGACCATGCAGTGGGTTGTTTTTTTTTTTTTCAGAGGCTGTAAACTGCACATGAGGATACTGTTCATCTTTCTCCCATGGAACCACTGATGGATTTGAACTGTTTGCCTTTTGGATGGCATCGCAGCTTTTTACCACTAATACACCAGAACTCCTTCCCTATCATATGACCGAAAATTGAGCCATGGAGATGAGCTGAGTTCCAGCCCTAAAGGGCGTCTAAGTTTTGAGAGTTCCATCGCCTCTCTCAGACCAATAAGCGTGGCCATTTTTATAACTGAGTGTTGGCTCCACAATATTTTCCCACTTTATCCAGGACCTCCAGAGTGGCAAATGGATTTTTTTTTCAAATCCTTCTGGAATCAGCCAGTAAATGACTCTCCATGTTCTGCAAATTATACCCTCGTATTAGGTCAAGATGCATAAAACTGACATTTCTTGTAAGTTAAGGGTGGCTGAACAGCTTCCATTTCATAGAGTACAACCTCATACAAAGTTGGCACCTTACCCAGCAGAGTGAAGTGGGCATTTGTCAGAATAATTTGCATTAGGTTAAGATGCATTTAATGGTACGGGAGCAGGAAAAAGGCAAATAGACTAAGGGAATGGATTAAAGGGTATCAGTGAACACAAGAATATGTGGAAATTTTGTCTGTGATGAAGATGGCACCTCAAATTATGAGGCAACTAGAAGGGAAAGATGTCCTTTCCCCCTAAACAAATGGTGCTGGGACAATTGGTTAACAATTTGGGGGGTGGGTGGATAGTTAGATCCACACCTTACAACACACAGGATACCTCACTGCACACACAGAAGAGCAACAGGCTTTGGGAAGGCAAACAATTGCTATGCACCTGCCTGCTGCAAGCTCACCTGTTTTCCAAGTGAAATCAGTGCAACACTAAGTTACACAACACTCACTAGGGTGGCCCTGGCGATCGGGAGTCCTGGCAACATGCCACCTTTGTTCACAAGAGATGTAAAACTCCGTTTCTCTCTGAGCATCTAGAGACTTGGGCTGGCCCTGTGTTTACTCAGGCAGCAACCTTTACCTCTTTCTAAAACTCTTAAGTTACCATCATGCTGTCACCAGGCCCCATTTTCAGTTTCTTGGCACCTACAAAAAATTGTAAGATTCTGGTCCAAAGTTGCATCCCCATGAAACACACACACACACACACACACACACACACACACACACACACACACACATATATATATATATAAAACTGGATCCATCCCTCACACCAAACATAAGAACAAGCTTCAGGCCCCATCATCCAGTGTAATAAAGCAAAATCTTTTCTGGCTGAGAAAAGAAAAAAAAAACCCACAAAAAAACTCCCACAAATGAATCCTTTACAGTGTCAGTGTAGGGCAACACAGTCTACTTATGACCCAAGATCCAAATCAATGAGGTTTTTAAAAAACCTATCTATTTGCTGCAAAATAGTTTTTAATTTGCTTGATAAAAAAATAAATCAATAAAAGCAAAACCTCCATAAACAATGATAAAAGGGGGAAATGATGAAATTGGCAAATAATTGGCTAATAGCTATGATACAACAAGTGCTTCCAATATGAGAGGAGAGGAATGAAAAACATATCTTGAGAGAAGAATGAGTAAAGAACATAAACAGATAATTCAACAAAAATATGTCAAAACTTCCAACTGTTATCTGGAAAGACAATGACCTCACTCAGGAAGTAAAGATAAGACCTCGAGTCAGTGCCTCTAAGTCAATGGCAACTCTTGGTGACCCTAGAGGACAGAGCAGAGCTGCCTCAGAGGGTTCCAAGGCTGTAACCTTATGGAGGACGCTCTGATGGCCCAGTCAGGAGGGAGGTGTTCTGTCAACCCAAGCTCAGCTGGTTCAAATTCACCAGCTGCTCCAACAGAGAAAGATGCAGAGTCTCCTCCTTTGCGATTTATAGCCTCTGACAACCTGTTTGATGGTCAGCTAACTATGAGTCTGTTTCAACCTGATGGTGATGAGTTTGAAAGGACTTTTAAATCTTTACTGAAGCAGACTGCCTCATACTTCTCCCACAGAGCCATGGGTGAGATTTGAATCGTCGACCTTTAGGTCAGCAGCCCAACACCTAGTCTAGGCTCCCAGGGTTCCTTCATTCACAGTCAGGAGGAAGACAAACTAGAATCACAAATAGACATCGTCTCGCACATAGCGAATTGGCAAGAACGACACAAGTACAACACAGAGCTGGCGAGGCTTCCGGCGCCAGACACGCTCGCACACTGTGCTGAAAACAGAGCGGCCCAGCCAATCTGTCTGGTAGGCACTTTGGCAATCACAAACACAACTACATCTGCATCTGCTGTTGATTCAGGGATCCCATTTCCAGGAACTGACCCTGAAGACACAGCTCCAGCAACTCAATTATACACAAGACGGTTGCCTGTGCATCATTTTCAGTTTTAAAATTGTCCACAAACTATATATATATAATATTTGTTATGTGCTGTCGAGTTGCCTGCAAAACACACACACACACACCCCTCCTGCTGTCTGAACATTTCCCTTACTCCATTTCACGTTTAAGAAAGGCCTGCATTAGTGCCTGTTTTTGTGAACCAGAAAGGATTTTAGATTTTATGAAAAAAGGTGCAAAGCTAAACTAGCTCCTTTGCTGGAGCCACTGAAGAGGCAGCGCACATGCCCAACTGGAAGAGTGGTGTCACCACCAAGCTCCTTCCCAACGTCACACACCTTAGTTCTACATTATGCAGCCCAGTATTTATAAGCTCGTTCCCACACTGACAACACCGGGGCGATATTTGATATGATTGGATAGCTTGCTTTTAGGGTCTGAGAACTCAGAAAACTTTCCCCTGACAAAAGAATGATAACTGCCATTTGAGCTGACAGGTTTCATAGGATCACCCTCCGTTCGGAAAGCTGAGGAAGCCTGGATAAGAGAATGGCTGCATAAACTGTAGTGGAAACAATGAAGAAAAACACTACAAGAACCAAGACTGGCAAAAAAAAAAACCCCAACAACAACAAAACACAAAAACAAAAAACACACACACACACACAAAAAAACAAACAGGTAAAGCTCTATGAAGTTACAGGGAGTCACTGGAGACAGTGGACCTTAGACACCTGCAGGCCTGGAACTAACTCCCCTTCATGCTCAACTTTCAGCCAAACAACAGAGAGGTCTGTAAGGTGACCAGAGACCAGGCACACCAGCAAGGAGCACACTCCTTGGAAAAACCAACCACTTTGATCAAAGGGGCAGTTTCCACCTAAAGATGAAGCCAGGAAGGGACAAGAGGGAGGGAGGAACAAAACCAGGAAACACAGTGGGAGGTGGGCTGAGTGACGTCACGTCACGGGGACAGCAAACAAGGTCATGACGCACTCTGCGTACAACTGAATGGAAAATTGATTTGCTCGGTAAACCTCCCCCCAAATCAGAAAAGAAATAAGGACATGACCTGGAGTGACTTCCAGGATTTCTTGTGACTCAGTAAGGACCCTATGTGGTAGCCACCACTGGGCTCTCTGTCCGCAGAGCTGGAGAGTGCCCAGCGTTGACTATATGTGTAAGACGAGTACAATAAACTGGACGAAAACACCTCCACCTCTCCACAGTATGGGAGCCCTGCTCCAGCAGTGGGCTGGACTCCACCTGGATTTAGATCTCTGGGTGCCCAGCACTGCCGAGGGGTTCAATGGCATGCCCTCTGCTTCCCAAGTTTATTCAGATCAGACTTTGCAGACTGCTAAATGTCTCTCCAGACCAAAGACTGTGTGGTCCAAAATTCTTTAAAAGATTTTCATGCACTGGAGCCGGGCTGTGGCATAGTGGGTTAAGCTTTGGGCTGCTAACCAAACCGCTGGTTGTTTGGATCCACAAGCTGCTCTTCAGGAGAAAGAAAAGAATTAGGTAAAGAATTACAGCTTTGGAAACTGTATGGGGCAGGTCTACTGTGTCCCCCTGGGCTGCTGTGAGCCAGAATTCACAGGGTGGTGGGTTTGGTTGGTTTTGACAATGGTGCCTGGTACAC